CAAGTCCATCACGTCTTGCATTACGCGTCCTCTGAAGAGCGGACCAAATCTTTTTTATCATGCGAAGGAACGTGTTCCTCGGCTCTGGCTCGGTAGTCATTCATAATGTATCATGCGCCATTGTCACGCCCCGCTTCCCAAAATACCCGGGAATCAGAACGTGAACAAGCCCGCGACATGTTAGATTAAGAAGAAATATACACTGCTATTTTTTTTCTTTTCTTTTCTTCTCAATCCAATACGCTAAGCGTCTGAAAATAAGTACAATACGAATGCACAGGTCCCCGATCACAATCAGCAAGAATATAATAGACAAACTCAGAATAAAAATACATATCACAAATGGGATAACATCAGAGACATAAAAATACGGGTCAACATGCCCTTATACAAATCTGAACAAATGAACTGAAGAAATGTGAAATACATTGATCAGACAGGAATGAGAAGAACTACAAAAGTAAACTGTAACCATTAACTAATAAATGAAAAGAATAGACTCCGACTCTTCTTCTGCTCCCTCTACAAGGCACTCCTGCTGAGGATCTTCCGGCTCCTGGCGATCTCCTAGCTGAACCTGTTCTTCCTCTAAGTCTGACGTACACCAGAGAAAACAGGTGTACGTCAGGTGTATGGCGCACGGCAAGACCCGACCCCACAAAGGAAATAGAACGAACGGAAATCCAATGCGAAAAACGATACGATAACAGAAACAACAAAAGGACGTACAGCTGAAATTCACAAATCAACGTGAAAACACTACTAAATCATGATAACATAAAGCATCCAGAATCGATCGGTAACGAGGTCCTGCAACTAATGATCAAACTAATCATCCAAATAACAAGGGCATACACTAGATGGAATTAATACTTAAAAATCTACAACAAGAGACGTAGTACGTCGAGCGAAATAATCCAAACAAGGAAACCCTCATGTATATACCATATGTCTCAAATTATAGATAATTAAATATTAATCCCGATCTATGTGTGAAAAGAAGTATAACCGACCTACATCTCACAAGAATCATACTTAGCCAAGAATCGAGGTCATGTAACTAACTATCCCATCACTCATCTCAAACAACCACAATCACAATATCTCAGCCCCTCAGACCCACCCCAGTGATTACACAAACTTCACCGGCGCGAGCCTGGAATATACATCAACAATCACATATCAAAACTCCTCGGACCCACCCTGGTGACTACACAAACTTCACCAGCGCGAGCCCGGAATATATATCAACAATCACATATCACAACTCCTCGGACCCACCCCGATGACTATACAAACTTCACCAGCGCGAGCCCGGAATATACATCAATAATCACATATCACAACTCCTCGGACCCACCCCGGTGACTACACAAACTTCACCAGCGCGAGCCCGGAATATACATCAACAATCCCAACCACTCACATGGACCAAGACTTCTCATTCCAATTCTCGTAATTTCAGGTCAACTACACACGAGATTCTAGATCCTAATTGTGTCATACAGGTCACTATAATCATGTACTTCTCACGAATCTCAACATGGAATAATAAATACAGTTACGCTAAGTGTCAATGTCATAAAGTGTGAATAAGGATCGTGATCACATGCAAGAAACACACGAGAGTAAAGCTACTATTAACAGTGCAAGATGAAACTACCATTAACAGATATTTTTGCACACGAAAATCAAAATCTCAGTTATTAATTCCAAGAATAATTTTCTTTAAAATTATTTCTCCTTATTAATCTAAAATAATTCTTTTTCTCAAAACAAATTCTTTTTAAATATTATAAATTCTCTAAAATAAATCCATTACTAAATTAAATTCTTTTAACTTATTATAATTATTCTGAAAACACTATTTATCACATATCTATTATGTAAATCAATATTGTTCCCCAAACAACCCACACAGATAAATACGACACAATTAAACTATGCAAATAATTCATAAAAAATGTAAATAATCAAACTATGAAACAGGAGAGCGGAATCTTGCCTCGGGGTTCCATCGAACGAGTCGACATCGACGACGCGGGTCGGATCTAACGAGGAGAGCGCGACACAGTGGGGAACTCCGACGAGGGACTGTGGAATCTCGGTGACGCTCGTTGATGACGAGGGGGCGGACTGGGACTGAGCACGACACGGCGGCGACGGGTCCGACGAGGGGCAGGGTCGACAGGTGGAGGAGGAGCGGGTCAAGGGGTGTTAGGG